TCATGAACGCATGAATTAACATTTCTGCATTTGACATTGAGAGCATAGGTCGTATTTTAGATATATTTTTGAGATGGAAAAATGCAGTTTTACAAATGCTAGAAACTTGGCTTTCAAAGGAAAGATTGCTATCAAATACCACACCTAGGTTCCTAACTGATGATGAAGAATTGACAGAGCAGCCATCAAGTTCGTAGACAGTGTTCTAGGTTATTACTGCTAAATTCTGAAAAAACAAAAGTGTTAATTATAGGACCTAAAAACTCTGCATGTAAGAAATTACTCGTCATCCAGTTTTTTATATTGACTATGCATTCCGTTAGTTTTTCAAATTGGTATGTTTCGCCGGGCCGCGAAGAAATATAGAGCTGAGTATCATCAGCATAACAGTGAAAGCTAACACCGTGCTTCCTGATGATATCTCCCAAGGGTAACATGTAAAGCGTGAAAAGTAACGGCCCTAGAACTGAGCCTTGAGGTACTCCATACTGCACTTGTGATCGATATGATACCTTTTCATCAACTGCTACGAATTGATGGCGGTCAGATAAGTACGATTTGAACCATGCTAATGCACTTCCATTAATGCCAACAAAGTTTTCTAGTCTATTCAAAAGAATGTTGTGGTCAATAGTGTCGAACGCAGCGCTAAGATCCAATAGCACTAATAGAGAGATACAACCACGATCAGATGATAAGAGGAGGTCATTTGTAACTCTAATGAGAGCAGTCTCAGTACTATGGTACGGTCTAATACGGTCCATTTTACACACAAATTACATTTCTGCTTATGACTTTAAATGTTGACAATGCTTCCAGGTAGGCTCCTTGGTACTTGCTGAGTGAAACATCGAAAAATATTCAGTAAAAAATGATGAAAAGCCGGACGAAATGCATAAAGTCGCTGCACTGCGTATTAATGTGTGAGGCGCGTGCACGCGAGGGGGGTAAGATTTTCAGGGGAGGTCGGATTTTGGTACAACTCGCGGTTAATCCTAACTACAGGCAAAAACTGTTTTTTCATGCATCTGTCAATTTTGAGATTTTGGGCTTTTCATAAAGTATTTTTTCAGACTAGTGGAAAGAGAACATCCAAAATACACTTTTGAGTGTTTATTTTATAGCATTTTATCTATTTGTATCTGTAGATTTCATTTACGATTCATATCTTTAAAGGCCGTTTTCTCAAAATAAGATTTTTCTCCTGCACTCAAAAATCTCTACTTCAGTAGCAATTAAATACACTTTACAGTTTTATTCCAATCTATATTCTGAAGGTTTTTACAGAGGGGTTTGTTCATATATAGTTTGCCTGATTTTATACAATATTTTAATCCCAAAAAATTGTGAATATATATATATATATATATATATATATATATATATATGTTTTTATTTTTATTTTTTTATGAAATGATAACAAGAGATATCCAAATTACGGTCTTTAATAACCTTTCTAATATGTCAACAGAATGAAACAAGAATTTTGAACCTGGCTTCATCCAATGTTCAGGTTTTTGTTCTAGAATTCTATGCAAAATTGTGCATATTTAATTAGTTAACACTTCATTTGCATATTTAAACATAACATTTCAGAAAACTTGTAATACAGAAAATGTTTGCAGTTCTTAATGTATTGAATCAACTGGGGAGGTATAGTGATATCTATTTTTTTTCTTTCTATTCATTCATTTGATTGTGTGTGCTGTTTTCGTTGTCCAGGCAGTGGCTTCCTAAATCCAAGATGGTTCCTCTCGGAATTGACAAAACCATCGACAAGATTAAAATGATGGAGGGCCGCACATCAGCCATCCGCAAGGCTGTTCAGACTGCCTTTAACCATGCCATGAACCATCTGAGTCGAGTCCAAGATGAACCTATTAGCGACCTCAGTGATGTTGATTAAGATTGGCAAATGCAGGCACATTTCAAAGCCTTACTAATTGTCATTCCTGACTGACACCCGCTGTGTGACTTCTGTATTTTGTTTTACTCCATACCTGCCTCTCCTGTCTCATTTACACATATGTCTCTAATCAATTCTGTAAATAATGTAAATCACTTAACACTAACTTAATCTTCAGATTTACTGTAATGGGTACTGTACATACATTTTTTTTAATAGCATTTATACATTTTAGGGAATTATACCCAGCGTAATTACTCATTGATGCTGGAACAAATGGACTGTGAAACGAAAGCAAAAGAATACTGTAATCTGGGCTGGAACATAATGTGAGAGTTCTTGCTTTTTATGTTTAAATGATTAAAGTTTGTACACAGGCTTTTATTTGGCATTGTTTTTGTAACCTAAGATTGTTTTTACAACAATTTTAACCTATTTTGATGTATTTATATAACTAAATATATAACTTGACTTTCTAATATGAAAAGACAATGTTGTTATGAAAACCACAAGTGCGTTATTATGATATTCTAATGAAACCAAAAAAGAAAAAAAAAAAAGCCCAGACTTTTGTTTGTGTTGAGTGAATGGTTTTGTTTAAACTGTATGATACTGTGCTTGTTCTGGTGTTAATTTATTGTGGGTTGGGTGGTACATTTATTCACTGGGGAAAAGATAAAAAAAAAGGTTTTACTTGACTGTAGGAGTTATTGTTTTTTATGATTCTTAATTTTATATCAGAGCCCCAGTAGCTATGTCTGTTTATAGTGACTTCCTTAGGATTACTCTGGGTTGCAATAGGTAGATTTTGGAATACTTTTTAAACCATATATAAGTTGTTTCAGTTGGTATTAGAACTGTTGATTGAATTGTCCTTTTTAATTTTTTTTTATAAATTCATAAGCTAGTTACGTCTTGAGTTCATTAAAACAATTACTATAGCACATAATATGATTTGTATGGCACGTTAAAGCAACAGTACGTTTTTTTTAACTTGTGAAATATCAGTTTCAAAATCTGTTTCTTTCCCACCCTATCCACTAATTATGTTTATAACACTAAAGTCCACTCACTTAACTGTAGGGGGCTCTAAAGTCATACATACAGTTGCTTGGTACTGATGTTCCATGGTATTTCTATGCTGCGCTTAGTATCATGCTTATTATGGGCATGTACCATGATAGTAACATGGTGTTCTTGGAACTAAATCATCTAAATAACACTCATAATTACCACAGTATTAACATCTGATACCATCACTGTATCATGTCACTGCCAGTGTCATTGTTTTTCTGAGGGCACTCCAAGGTAATCCTTACAAGCACTACATTGGCTGTTGTTTTTTAGTGTACTTATTTAATACCATTGTGTTACTATCTGGTACAACAAAATTGCCACAGTACTTTGTTAGATAGAATTATTAATTACTTATTACTAACAGATTATTTGATGCCTACAGCCATCTCATGGTCAGGTATGGCCCATGTTCCAAAGCCTATTCTGTCACTAGAGGTCACTGTGAATCTATGAAAGAAAAACTGAAAAAAGCAAGCAAGTCTGCATTTTCACTGAGACAGTCCCCTTGTCCAAATACCCACACTTGCGGTCTTGGCCACTTGAGAGCGCGTGCGCGCGACAGGAAGTAAGTGCGCAAGTCTGTCCCATGTCTTCAAAATGCCAAAGTGCGGTGCCCTTAATGGATACTAAATCCACACTATCTCGAATACCGCTCCAGAGCGCTATTCAAGGCTAAGTGTATCCCATCATGCATCATGTTCTGGAAATAAATCGTGAGACTTTTTGCCGAGATCTCTCGAGAGGTCACTGAAACCTTTCCAATGTAAGTTAAATATTAATATAATAATTAGATATTACAAATAATTTGGTAGAAAAACAGTGTTTTTACTTTTATTGGTGCAAAGATGAGTTGTGGTGATATTTATTTTGTACAACATTTGCAACTGCTTTTTATCACTTAATTAGAAGCACCACAAATTAAAATTAAAAACTACTGAACAGACATTTAGAAGTTGATTTTAAAATGCAAAGTATTTCAAATTAAAATTAAAATAAAGCTGTGTAAACACTTGCATTTTTACAACACTATAAGTGTGTCCCATCAGGTAATGAAAAGTTCGACACACACTTGTGGTCTTCATCCTCACTTGAAGACTTCGGCCAAATACAGGAAATATGTCATTTAAGTAATCAAGTGGTCAAGTGCAAAGACTGCAAGTGTGGGTATTTGGACAAAGCCAGTGTCATCAGGACACTCCTTCAGAAAGCGTGAAATTAAGCAGCTCCTGATTCATGGGATTTTTCTGAGGGTATTAATGCATCACCTATCTTTACATCAACTTGATTACATTGAAAGTTTTACATCTCTCAAAGCTTTTGAAACACCAAATAAGCAGTGCTTAGAGGAAACTGGTGAATTCAAACTCTTATCTGTGTTGCGCTGAAATTGACTTTGTCAAAAGTGTTTAGAAAGCTGTTGATTGTGCTGAAAGACTGACAGTGGTGTATTGTATCTTCAATTCAAATATGTTGCTGTCTCTGGTGTCTAATTGCTTCAGGAGGTAAACGGTATGCTCGAGTGGATGGCAAGTGAGGTGTGAATGTGTGAAGTGTGAATATCAATCTCTCACATCAGTGTCATCAAATGACTTCTACAGAGTTGGAGTGCCCTAATTAGCTGCTGCCCCAGTGGCCCCACTCTGATGGCACGTTTCTGATATGTACTGATGGATATCAGCAGGTGCACCTAGGTCTGAATAATGCGTTATTCCACACATGCAGGTTGTCATTTGGTTCAGCATGGGGATTATGTTTTATGTAGGTTTTCTACGTCAAAAACATAACAGTGACTAGTTTCACTGATGCAATCGGGGGATATTAAGTTTTTTTCTGGATATGTCTGGAATTACATACTACTCTACCTCTTACTGTTACTGCAGTGTATAGTAGAGTTTGCAAATGTTAAGTATGGATGCAATACCAGGATGACCTACTACATTTGATGACTCCATCATACTGGCTTCCATTTATGTAGCTCAAACAATAGTCATTCATATTTCTATAGCTCTTAAACAGTACAGATTTCAAAGCAGCTTCACGGTGATAATCATCACTATCACAATTGCAGAATCAATTATGGAACTTAACTATGGAGGCAATTCAAATTCTGCGGTAAGCAGCTCTAAAAGACAATAGTGTCATTATTTAGCTCAAGTCAGATCAGTGTTGGTTCAGTTCAGTTCAATAACTGTAAATTTAATCAGTAACAGTGTTGATGTTTCAAGATGCAATTCACAGTGACTAGTTTCACTGATGCAATCGGGGGATATTATTTAAGTTTTTTTCTGGATATGTCTGGAATTACATACTACTCTACCTCTTACTGATACTGCAGTGTATAGTAGAGTTTGCAAATGTTAAGTATGGATGCAATACCAGGATGACCTACTACATTTGATGACTCCATCATACTGGCTTCCATTTATGTAGCTCAAACAATAGTCATTCATATTTCTATAGCTCTTAAACAGTACAGATTTCAAAGCAGCTTCACGGTGATAATCATCACTATCACAATTGCAGAATCAATTATGGAACTTAACTATGGAGGCAATTCAAATTCTGCGGTAAGCAGCTCTAAAAGACAATAGTGTCATTATTTAGCTCAAGTCAGATCAGTGTTGGTTCAGTTCAGTTCAATAACTGTAAATTTAATCAGTAACAGTGTTGATGTTTCAAGATGCAATTCACCTTCTGGTGCTTCTGAATCAGCAACTGTAAGTATGTTTTGTTATTAGTTTAAGTATTTGCTATTGACTGTTCAAATGCGGAGTTTTGCGCATCGTGTGTGTGTGTGAGAGAGAGAGAGAGACAGGGTCACATCACAGTGGAGTCAGATGTCTTAACCGTGGCTTGTGTACTGCAAACATACCAGCTTCATCACTGTGTCTGTCACGCGACTCTGTTCTCCTTTCAGGCTTGAACTGATGGTAAAACTAATGACATTATTTACTGTCTTTACATTTATTTTGAAAGATGAAGCTCGCGATTATGGTAAGGGGTGTTACATTTCCGACGAGTGCTTGTGGTGTTCGGCCAATCACAATGCACTGGGTCAGCTGGCCAATCAGAGCAGACTGCGCTTGTCGGAAGGAGGGACTTTGTAGAAAACGAAGCGTTTGAGAGAGGCGGGGCATAGAGGACCTACAATAATGTACAGTATTTGAAAAATAATGTGTTTTTTGAACATTAAAGCATGTCAGCATATTCTGTTACACCAAATACACAAAATAATGATCTTTAAAAAAGCATCATATGACCCCTTTAAATACTGCATATTGATTTAGAGTTTCATGAAACTATTGGTTAAATAAAACGCAAGTGCCACCTACTGGCCTTTTATATGAAGTCAAAAATACTAGAAAAGGCAGTATCCTCTCAGCTAAGTTCCTTCTTACAGCGAAATGGTATATGTGAGGGTTTCCAGTCAGGATTTAGACCGTATCATAGTACTGAGACTGCTCTCATCAGAGTTACAAATGACCTGCTCTTATCATACAATAATGGTTGTATTTCTCTATTAGTGCTCATAGTGCTCGCAACATTTTAGTGCTGAGTTTGAGATTATCGACCACAACATTCTTTTGAGTAGACATTCTTTTGAGTAGAGTAGTAGTGGAATTGCATTGTCATGGTTCAAATCTTACTTATCTGACCATCATCAATTCATAGCAGTGAATCACGAGGTATCATATCGATCACAAGTACAGTATGGAGTACCACAAGGCTCAGTACTAGGCCCATTGCTTTTCACACTTTACATGTTACCCTTTGGAGATATCATCAAGAAACATGGTGTTAGCTTTCACTGTTATGCTGATGACTCAGCTCTATATTTCTTCACGTCCTGACGAAACATATCAATTCGCAAATGTTATGTACTACACCTTCAAAACAACCAAACGTAACAGCAAAACTAACGGAATGCATAGTTGATATAAAAAACTGGATGACTAGTAATTTCCCACTTATAAATTCAGGAAAAAAACAGGTTTTAATTATTGGATCAAAAACGTCCGCATCTGAAGAACTTTCTAATACTTGATGGCTGCTCTGTTAATTATTCGTCATCAGTTAGGAACCTAGGTGTGCTATTTGATAGCAATCTTTCCTTTGAAAATAAACATAGCTCATATCGCATTATTGTCCTTCACAGCCGCTGCGATCTTAAAACTCCATTTGATAATACCCATTTGATAATACCTATTTGATAATACCTAGAATATCAAAATCAACTGCAGGCAGCAGATCCTTTTCCTATTTATCGCCCAAACTTTGGAACAATCTACCTAGTGTTGTTCGGGAAGCAGACACACTCTGTCAGTTTAAATCTAGATTAAAGACCCATCTCTTTAACCTGGCTTACACATAACACACTAA